TCCCCCCCCCCAATCTCAACCCTCTGCCCTAGCCCTGAGCTCCTCCTGCACCCCAATCCCCTTGTCCCCGGTCCCACCTGGGAGCCTGCACCCCCCTCCAGAGCCTTCACCCTCTGCACCTCAACCCTCTGTCCCCAGCCCTGAGCCCCCTCTCACTCTGAACCCCTCAGCCACACCCTCACCACAGATCACCTCCATATGGGTGCACATAACACAATTGATTCCGCACATGAATGTAAAAAATTAGAGGGAACATTGCTGGTGGAAAGGGAAAGAATGTGCATAATCGTGTCCTCTCTGTGCTCACTTGCTGTGCATCAGGCAGAGCAGGGAATATTCTGATCAGTTTCACTTATTCTTTCTGAAAGTACACATATTGAGAAGAGGCTGTGGTCGGACCTACAGACTTCATGAGAGTTCCTGTTTGGGTACAGCTGACCCAGAAAGATGATTCAAGTCTATAGTGCCTTGTAATACATTGAGGAATTACGTGAAATTCAGTGAGTTACAACTAAACTCTTGTATTTTTTTTTTTTAAATAGGTCCTTCCACTTCCTTTTCCTCTTGTTCCAAATACAGGAGTAAATCAAAAACTCCAGCAAATGAACAAAAGAAACCTGCTGAGGTGAGAACAATGGTTAAAGTTTAGATTGTGGTAATCTGATTATTTTGTAATGTATATATTTTTTGTCTCTAAGCTTTTTTGTTCCAGCCTCATCCCTTCAAATCTAGCTCTTAACTCTGCCGTGTCCCCCTGCTGCCTCACCCTTTCTACACGCCTGTCACCAATTGGTTCCACTTCCCTGTGCTTGACCATGTCAACCTAGTCCGTCCCCCTGCTGGCTGAGAACCTCCCTTCCAACCCCCCTCCAACCCCCCCCGAAAAACCACAAATGCCCATGTGTGCCGGTGTGACTATTGATAGCCGAGGGAAGTGTGAACTGACAGCATGGGGAAAATGTTTTGATACTTCAGAATTTAAACCAGAGATTCATGGCTCAAGGTAACAATGTATGCTGTACAAAATGATAGGCTTTTTAGCCACCTGCTGCAATGGGAATTGTATAAATGTCTAGATTGGGTTCATCCAGAAAATCATATGCAGCAAAATTCTTCTATATTTGCAGGGGCATGCACACAATGAAATGCTGACTACATTTTGTGAATGGACCAGTGATTGCCTGTCCTTGTAAGAATTCAAGAGCAGGTGGAAGTCCCTTAATTCAATGCTGCTTACTGGCTTAATGTATTTGGTTTGGTGGGAAAAGGCAGTGTTTAAAATGTGTATCTTGTTCTCCCAAAGTTAGTTTTTAGCAAGTGTTAATTAAGATCCCCAATGTTAGTATATGTTTTAAAAGAGAAATTGTTCAATTGTTTTGAAGCATGGCGGAAGATTGACCAACGGTATATGTAGTGGCCTGTCATTTGCACTGCCAAGAAAAAGTCTCTTTTTTTGGTAAAATGTTTCCTTATGAAATCACACCCTTCAATAATATGCTTAGATTCTAGTTTTTAACCACTGAAATCTTGCTAAGGATTTGCTCTGTACAGTAATTCAGCCTTCTTACCAGAAAGGTGAATATGAACTGCAATGAATGAGACTATTAATGTCTGCCACTATTTTAAAAATTCTGTATCATCATCCCTTTACCCAGGCATGCTCTTACCACCCAGTTCCCCTGGTTCCTTAAGGTGTGACTCTCCCATGTCTTCCTGCAGGAGACTCCTGTCTCTGCTATTTTTGCTCCAACTCCCTTCCACCTGTCTTTATACACATGTACATATGAACAACAATAAATATGAAGACTCCTCAAATGTATAGCTGCATGTAGTAGCTATTGGAAGCTAAAATTAGGCACGTGTCTCTCATACTTTAGTTTCCTTTACACATTACATTTTCTGTCTCTTAACTGTGAGTACGTATCTTTAGCCCCAAAACATGCACTCAGTCTTATTGGCAAACCAAACCATGTTCCAAGTATGAATCTCCTTTTTCAATGAAGCTAGAGTGTAGTCTGATGGAAAAAGAACTGATTGTCTGTGAACTTCATTGGACCAACTATTCTAATAGTGCTTTCCTGCTATTATGTTTAAAGGGACACTGGCAACTTGATTAAAAATAAATAAATAAATCTCAATTTAAAAAAATACAATTTTCTTGTAGAATGTCCTGATCTTTCATTTCTTCTTTTAAACCTTTCTTAAGGGAACATTACCAAACTGCTTGGGTCCAACCTCAACCCTTCCCCCTTTTTCTCTATGCATGTGACTTTCAGTTGTCTCATAGACTTCAAGGCCAGAAGAGACCATCATCATCATCTAGTCTGAGCTCCTGAACAATGCAGGCCACAGAACCTCATCCACTCACACCTGAAATAGACCCCCTAACTGCTGGCTGAGTTACTGAAGTTCTCAAATCATGATTTAAAGTCTTCAAGTTACAGAGAATCTGCCATTTACACTAGTTTAAAGCTGCAAGTGACTCATGCTGCAGGGGAAGGCAAAAACACCCCAGGGTCTCTACCAATCTGACACGGGAAAATTTCTTCCTGACCCCAAATATGGCGATCAGTTAGAGCCTGAGCATGTGGGTAAGACCCAGCAGCCAGACCCCTGGGAAAGAATTCTCTGTAGTAACTCAGAGCTGTGTCCCATCACCAGCCGTTGGAGATATTTGCTACTAGCTGTTGCAGATTGGTTGCATGCCATTGTAGGCAGTCTTATCATACCATATCCTTATCATACCATAAACTTCTCATGCTCAGTCTTCAAGATAGTTTGATTTTTTCGGCCCCCACTATTCCCCTCAAAGGCTGTTGAAGCACTTCACTCCTTGTTAGAAACTGTCATCAAGTTTAGGCTTGAAATTAATCGATAACCAGTTTATATTAATTTTTTCTTGTGTCAACATTGGCACTTCACTTAAATACCGGGGAGGAGTTATTTACTCTCTGATGTATTTATAGAGCACAAGCATATCTCCCCTCAGCCTTCTTTTGATTAGGCTAAACAAACCAAGCTCTTTGAGTCTCTTCTCATAAGGTAGGTTTTCCGTTCCTCTGATCATCCTAATAACCCTTCTCTGCACCTGTTTCAGTTTGAATGTGTCTTTCTTAAACATGGGAGACCAGAATTGCATGGAGTATTCCAGATGCGGTCTCACCGGTGCCTCGTATAATGATACTAACTAATCCTATCTGTATGGGAAATCCCTCGCCTGATGTATTCTAGGACTGCATTAGCCTTTTTCATGTTCGCATTGCATTGGCGGCACAGGGTCATTCCGTGTTCAACAAATATACCAGGTCTTTCTCCTCTCTGTCACTTCCAACTGATAAATCCCTAGATTATAACAAAAATTCTTGTTGCTAATCCCTAAGTGCATGATTTTGCACTGTTAAATTTCATCCCATTTTTATTACTCCAGTTTACAAATTCACCCAAATCTTGTATGATAGCCTCTGTATTTGCAGTACCTCTCAACTTTGTGTCATCTGCAAATTTTATTATAACGCTCCCACTTTTTGTGCCAAGTCATTAATAAACATGTTAAATAAGACCGGTCCCAAGACTGATCCCTGAGGGAACTCCATTAGTAATCTCCCTCCAGCTCTCGGTTCACCTTTCAGTATGACCTGTTGTTGTCTCCGCCTCCTCAAACAAGGAGAGCAGGTTGGTCTGGCAGGGTCTACCTTTTTAAAACCACATTGTATTTTGTCCCAATTACCATTAATTTCCACGTCCTTAACTATTTTCTCTTTCAAAATTTGTTTCAAGACCTTGCATGCAATTAAGATCCAACTAATAGGCCTGTAGTTTCCCAGATCACTTTTTTCCTTTCTTGAAACTAGGGACTGTATTAGCAATTCTCCAGTCATAGGGTACAATCCCCAAGTTTACAGATTCATTAGAAATTCATGCTATTGGGCTTGGAATTTCATGTGCCCGTTCCTTTAATATTTTTGGATGGAGATTATCTGGGCCCCCTGATTTAGTTGCGTTAAGATGTAAATTTGACGTCCACCTCAGATGTGGTAATTTCTACTTCATTATCCTCATTTCCATTAGCCACCCTGCCACTATAAGATCCTAATTTTCCTTATTAAAAACTGAGGCCAAGTATTTGTTTAGGTGTTGGGGCATGCCTAGATTATCTTTAATCTCCACCCCATCCTCAGTGTTTAGTGGTCCAACTTCTTTCTTTGTTTTCTTTCTATTTATGTGGTTATCAAACGGTTACTATTGGTTCTAATCTCCTTTGCAAGGTCCAGCTCTGCTTGGGTTTTGACAGTCCTCACTTTATCCCTGTTTTCTGACCTGCAAGAGGGTAGCTTTCCTTGCTATCTATCTCATCTTTCAGTCCTTGTAGGCTTTCTCTACATCCAGCTTGGTCTGCAACTCTTCTCTACCAATTGTTTCCCCTTGCTTGGGATGCAGGCTTCAGATAGCTTCTGCAATTTTGATTTAAAGTAATTCCGAGCCCCCTCCACATTCAGATCCTTGTGTTTTTCAGGCCAGTCCATTTCCCTAACTAATCTCCTTAATTTTTTTAAGTTTTCCCTTTTGAAATCAAGGCCCCTAGTTACAGATCTAAACAATGAGGATGGGGTGGAGATATTATTTAAAGATATCTACGCAGCCAAGAACTTGCCTGAAGCCTGGAAGGACAGAGTGGCCAACCGGGGTTGCCGGAGGACAGACAGGAGGAGCACTGTGCCAGGGAGGAATCACCCAAGAAAGACAAACCAGAGTTGGACCCAGTATGTCTGTTGCTTAGAGCTGTATGGGTCTGAAAGTACTGGGGCTGGTAACTTTGCATTGGGAATAAGAAGGGAAGCTGTAGCTAGCTAAGTGGGAGGTTGTCACTCCGTGTGGATTTTCAGAGAGTGGCAGAATAGGGCACCAGAGGGGTTTGTTGGGAAAAGTTTACTGGCACCAAAGATGACTAGGAGCACCTGAGACTCACTGCCAGACTGGAACTTTGCCCAAAACTCTTAGTGTAGAGACACTGCTCAGTATCTGCCCTTTCGTATTGTGGTACCACTGGGCCTGTGGGACCTAGTGTTGGATGTAATCCTGTTTTACTGATCCCCCTACATTTCCACCCCCCCTTGTTTTCTCCCCCCCCCCCTCTATTCATCCCTCTGTAAACAAATATTTCCCTTTCCTATATTGTACTATTCCGGTGTGTATGTTTACTCAAGGGTGTTTGGAACAGGTGCCCTTGGGGTGGAAGGTAGTTTCCCTGCTGCATTCCTGCGCAAACCTTTTCTTGGCCAAAACTGCCTGCAGAGAGGACTCCATCTTGGCCACGAGGACACTAAATTTACACACAGTATTTCATATTGACATATCTGACTCTGATACGCTGAGATGCTTTGTTGCCATACCAGCCTTTGCTCTTTTCATGCAAGTTACCCAGTTTCATAACCTGGACGTATGAAGCTTTTATGGAAAGTGATATTGGGGGAATTACACTGCTCTACAGCCAAAATGCTTCTGAAATAAATGTAGTCAAACTTTACTAATT